TGGCCCTTTTTAATAAAATTTTACAAATATTCCCAAGATATTTCAGACCTATATGTATAACAGATGCAATGTATGCTATATGTATATTTACTACTGTAGGGTCTATTTTCAAATCCAATTTGTCAATCTGGTTGCATGTATATTCATACTAAAAACATAATATGTGCTATGTATATACTGATTCTGAATGTATTCCTTCCTTTGTTTTTTTTTAATGAATAAACAAAGATCCCTTATTTTCACTCCTTATCATGACTCATGAGATTTCAAATAAGTATTCAAAAGTGAACAATAAATTAAAACGAATTCTTTCGCGCGTAATGGAATGACGTTGCAGAAAGCACATTACCCTATGCGTTGATCACGTGTTCTCTGTACTCGTCTAACATGTAAGAAAAGCGAATATTCATCTCTTTTTACTTATAACCTCGTGACCTGAGTTCGTTTTCGTTCGATTCGATGTAAGTACACGCAAGTGGAAAATTACTAAATTACCTAACCTATTTGTCGCTGCTGTTTCCGTTGATTTTTAAGATTTTTCTTTTTATTAGATCACCAGTTTTTGAAGTGTTTTGTGTCCATATTAATAACAATTGGTAAGGTACTTATTGTTTGGATTATTTAAATGTGTATCATTATGTAAATGCAGCAATTACTATGGATAGCAAAATGAAAAAGAAATTAAGTAGGAACACGAGGGAAGGTTTAAAAATGTCCTTAAATATAATTTCTGGGAATGGTTCTGATGTTATTGAGGGCATTGCGGGGTAGGTGTACTAATTTTATTAAAGTTCATTACGAAGTATAGAATTTTGTATTTCAGTCAACGTTTCAGTTGTGAAAGTTCCATTAATATCAACGTTACTAGTTGTAGTAATCCCGGTGCACCTGATTTACAGAATAATTCTGAATTTGAAGAACTACTAGCAACGTCACATAATTTATCGTCAAATTCTGGAAATGATTTTGACGTAACCGATATACTCGACTGTGATAATTATGTAACTTCCCAAGGTGGTGAAATAAGTTTCGATTTTATTAATCAGGTTGCTGATCCTCATGCTGATCTCCCTTGTATTTTACCAAAAGCAACACCGTCGAAGGAATTTGATTTCAATCATTTTAAACATAAACTTGCCGAATGGGGAATTAGTGGAAATATATCACATATGAATATTTCAAAACTTTTAAGTATTTTAAAAACAGTACCAGCATTAAATAATTTGCCAAATGATGCCAGAACATTAGTGAATACTCCGCGATCAACTGCCGATCAAGTTCGGGTTATGCAACCAGGATATTTTTGTTATTTTGGTATTGGCACCACTTTGCGTAATTTATTTACAAAGTTCAGTTACACTCCGTTAGAAAATAGCATCATTGAGTTAGGAGTAAACATTGATGGATTACCTATAAGTAAAAGTGTTAAATCTACATTTTATCCCATTTTATGTAACATCAAATCGATAGAAATATTTAAAACTCATATTTTATTAATTGGGTTATATCATGGAGCTGATAAACCTATGGATTCAAACGATTTATTGCAAGAATTTGTGGAAGAATCTATCAGTTTATATAACAATGGAATTATTTTGAATGGTATTATTTGTAAAATTCGAATTGTGATGTTAACTTGCGATTTACCTGCAAAATCATATGTCGTGCTGAAAACTAAAGGTCACATGGGGTATTTTTCTTGCTCTAAATGCAAGCAAGAAGGTGACCATGTTGAAAGAGTATTGTGTTTTCCCGAAACAAGTTTTATAAAAAGAACTGATGATGATTTTCGTAGACAAACTGAATCTGAACATCATATTGGTTGTAGTATATTAACGAAACTACCACAGTTCAATATGATTAGGGATGCTCCCCTAGATTATATGCACCTAATTTGTTTAGGTGGTGTCAAAAGAATTTTGGCAGGTAAAAAACATGGGCTAATTTTTGGGAAACCTCCATACAAATTACCAAGTCGTGATATTAATAATATATCGGAGAGATTAAAAATTATGAGTAAGTTTATTCCAATGGAATTTTCCCGCAAAACAAGGCCCATTACTGAATGTAGATTGTACAAGGCTAGTGAATTTAGATTTTTTTTATTATATGCAGCACTTGTTGTGTTGAGAGGTATTGTGAAGAAGGCAATCTATAACAATATTCTTACTTTACATTTAGCAACATCTATCTTAATCAGTAGGGAATTTCATTGTCATTCTGATTATCTCAAATATGCAAATGATTTAATGTTGCATTTTGTACAAACGTCTTTAAAATTATACGGAGCAGATTTTGTTGCACACAATGTTCATTGCTTATTACACATTGCTGACGATGTGAAGTACTTTGGGGAACTAGACAACTTTAGCGCATTCCCATATGAGAATTATATGCAAAAGTTGAAAAATATTTTGAGGAAACACCATAAACCTTTGCAACAAGTTATACGGAGAAGCATGGAAACTGAATTTTTAAATTCGATGGGAAATATAGGTAGTAATGAAATTACTCCTTACTGTACTCAAGAACATTTTGATGGGCCTACCATAATAGGTTGTAACAAACAATTCAAAGCGATCAAATTAAGTAATTGCACTATTAAATTGAATCGTGCCGATTCTGTAGTGCAACTAAAAACTATGGAAATTGTCCGGGTGTTTAATATTTGTACAACTGAAGATGATATCAAAATTGTTGGCAAGGAGTTTATTGATAAACAAGAGTTATACTTACAGCCTTGTTCTTCGTCTATTTTTCATATCTATGAATGTCAACAATTAAAACCAACTTTTTCGTCGTGGTCGATTAACGAAATCAATCATAAAGTAGCAGGGCCGGATTATCCACTAGGCAAACTAGGCAATTGCCTAGGGGCGCACGGATCAATGGGGCGCCGCGCCCGGGAACCGGCACCACGCACCAAACGTGTACGTGATAATTTTCTATCACCAGCAGTCACGTATCACTATTACAATTAGGTACATTATACATAAGACAAAAAACTAATTGTCGAGCCTATCTTATTATGCAGTGTGGCGATAGCACCGTGCACCGTCAGCATACAGCACCGCCGAGGCGCCGACCGCAGTTAATAATTTGCAGTTGCAGATAAGCATAAGATAACAGATAAAACATATCTCATTCATAAAGTACAAGTACAACCAACTGGCAACTAATAATTCCATATATGAGTTAGTTAGTCGGAGATATTTTCTCATTAGTCTGATTAGTCATTATCATTACATTCTGTCTCTAATTTCTGTTTCGATCTACGTCTAAAAGTGTGAATGTGATTTTTATTTCTCCTTGTTATTTCATATATGGTATATCACGTATATGCAAATGCAACGAAGTTGTAAGCTTGTTTTTTAACGATTCAATTCGAACGCGAACCCATAAAATTAAAAAATTGAAATGAATACGAAACTTAGTGGAGCCAAAAGGAGAAAGTTAGATAAGGTGAAGAAAGATAGATTGGATGAAGAGCTAAAATATGTTCGCAAATTAAACACCTATTTTCCCTCTAAGTCCACGGACGCTGTCGACGCTGATGTTGCTCTTGCTGTTGAGGGTATGTAAAAAGTGACGTATGGCCGATAAACCGCTACACAATTGTTCTTGGTAGTGAAAGTGCGTTGCGTCTCTAGAATTGTGAGGGATAGTCATAATCGCCTTAATTTCCGGATTCACCAACGGTGGGATTAGAGCCTTGCAGTTTGAAGGATGATTGTATTTTTGTAAAAGTTGGGATTTTTCGTCTTTTTCTAGCCCGTTATAAATAATATGAGACCATCTTCCAGCTACTTTTGAGTGTAACTCGAAAAGGTTTGGTTTTTTCGTATTTGGATCGTCGCCTAATAAAAGTAAGACGTCATCCGACAATTCCAATTCGTTGTGGACGGAAATAGCTGGAGAAGAATCGGAGTTTAATAACTGTTGATCACGCACATGGATATCAGATGACTCGCACTCGGAGTCATGCTGTGAATGGCCTTCAACGCGCCGAGAATCTGTCGTTGTCAGCGACTCCGGGCGATAAACGCGACCATTGTTCAAGCTGTTTTGCGAGTTCGATCCCCGCAGTGATCGACCCTCGCGGTCCTTACGCGTAATAGATGAAACCGTCGAAGACGGTGATCTAGACCTGCTCCTCTCACTCGCCGAAGGAGGCGAAGCACATTTAGGGTAGCGAGAGCGTGAATTCGTATCCCGCAGATAACGACCTTCACGACTACTCGCAGAACACGACCGTGATCGTGCATCCCCCCGCGATTGCGAAGAGGGAAAAGACGATCTTCTCGTGCTACGAGAACGGGAACACCTATTCGCTCTTTCCAGAAACTCCAGGCGTTTTAATAGATCTTTTTTATGAATTCTTACTTCCGGAGAGTCACTTCGATCTCTTTTCTTTTTTGATTTTCCCATTCTAAAAAGTAAATAAGACCTGCAATAAATATAAACGGGATTATATAACAAAGGTTTACCTTAAACACTTTTCAGAACAGCGAAAAAAAATTAACGTAAGTAAACGAAAAACAACCGGCAGTGAAGGCACCAAAACGACGAATGACTAAGTGTGAGCAGAGACGGGGTCGGGGCGCAGGGAAATTCTGAACTTGCTTTAAAATAGGTGGTGTTAGGCAGCCAATATGGCATACTACGTATAATACAAAGTGATATCTTCGAACCGAACACATAGTATAATTCCGATCGAACTTCACTACAGGTAAGTTCGTTTGATCGATGAATTATTGTTCACAATGCATTATAATATCATCCATTAGGCTGCATTGTAGGGTAGCTATAAAAGAATCCTATTGTAAAAAATTACACAAAAATATTTAAGTATGAATTTTAGTTTAGTTTATTGTTCTTTTAATAAACAACACATTATAATTAATTAACTTTTTGTGTTCTTACTAGGAAAAGAGGGGAAGGGGGGGCGCCAGTAGGGTTTTGCCTAGGGGCGCATACACAGTTAATCCGGCCCTGTAAAGTAGTGCTGTTACCACATAAAAATGGTTTTGCTGCTTTTCCAATGTTGCATTAATTTGGATTTGAAATATTTTTATTGTACATGCTACCTATTCAATGTACAGGGTTTTAAATTAACATGGAGAAAAAAACAAGTCCTTGGATGGTGGTTCGTTTTACAAAAGAAAATTGTGTGGAAATGATACCTAGCAATTGGTACATGTCCAAATCGTCAAAGTGTTATTGGCCTCCGAAAAAATCAAATAAGGAAATAAAGAACCTTTTATTGCAAAGACATTCTCCATCAAAAGATTGGGCGTTATTTGATGTTGTTCTCTTAGGACAATATGGTAAGTTTCTTGTCTAGGAATAATTATATATTTCAAATCTTTTCTTACAGCTGATGTAAGTAAGGCTAGCAAAAAGGCTTCCAAAGCTAGAGAAACCGATGAATTAACAACCACATGTGATGAAAATGTTGAGAATGTAAAAAGAAGAAGGAACAAAAATAGGAAATATAGTTCGTCATCTAACTCAACTGATTCTGAGGCAGAGTCAGTGGACGATAATGATTACCCTACTCCACCAAGATCAACCGATGCTAGTCTCCATCATGAAAAAGAACAAAGTTCACGAGCCTCATCGAAAGGATCAACTGTGTCAGCTGTATCATTATCTTCAGATTTGAGGCATGATGTGAAGCAACCCCAAATTAAATCTTCATCAAATAAGTCTACCCTTATGTCAAACAAGGATTCGAAGGTATATGCGCTTTTTTTATTAGATAAACAATATGTTTGCTGTAGAATTCCAGAGACAAGTGTTGCGACAACTGCATTTGATTAATGCAAAACTCAACCAACACTCAGAAAATTTCAATGTCATATTGCAAGGCGTTAACAATCCTACATTACCTGGCAATGTAGCAGTTGTTCCTATATTTGACTTGGGAGAAGTTAAAGATTTACTTCCAATTTCATCCGAGACAAATTTGAACAAAATAGAAGAATTGCTTGCCAACAAGGATTGTGCCTCTTCATTTGTAGGTATTAAGGGTTTATATAACAAATCACTACATTTAATGTACTTTCTTTCAAACCGAAATTCAGTATCTAGGGTATATCATTCGTCAGAACAAGATTTCTAAATGTCCAAAAAAGGTAGACGCGATCAACAGTGTTCCACGTCCTCGAAATGCAGATGAAGTACGTAGATTTTTGGGAATGGTTACATACTATTCTCGTTTCATACCAGATGCATCAACCATGACACATCCACTTAGACAATTACTGCGTAAGGACAAACAATTTTTTTGGTCGTCATCATGCGAATCAGCTTTTATCAAACTGAAAACCGAAATATCAAGTGAACGGGTACTGGTTCCCTTCGATCCCAATTTACCAATTACACTTGCGTGTGATGCAAGCCCAACAGGCATTGCGGGAGTATTATCAAACATTATCGACGGAGTTGAACGACCTGTAGCGTTTATATCCAGATCACTGACACAAGCCGAAACAAATTATAGTCAGCTTGATCGCGAAGCTCTTGCCATCGTGTTTACAGTGGGCAAATTCTACAATTATATTTATGGTCAACCATTTACCCTAATCACGGATAATCGTCCTTTAACAAGAATCTTTCATCAGAATGCAAAACTGCCAGCGATGACATCAGCTCGTTTACTTCGTTATGCTGCCTTTCTACAACAGTTCAATTATGAAGTCCAACATCGGAAAGCCGAAGATCACGTCAATGTTGACTTCTTTTCAAGAGCACCTTCTAATGAAAAATCAATTGGAATAGAAACAACATTAGACCAAGAGTTACAGAACTTAAATGACCAGGTGATAAATCAAATTTCAACTTATTCTCTCACAAGTACATCAATCGCATTCGAATCTCAGCAAGATCCAGAACTGTCAAAAATAAAGGAAAGCCTTATACATGGAAATCTCAATAATCCAGACTACAGTCTTCACGATGGAGTTATATTCAAAGGCCAACGTGTAGTAATACCAACGAGCCTTCGTGCAGAAGTTTTAAAGGAGTTGCACCATACACATGTCGGTATCGTCAAAATGAAGCAGTTAGCCCGGAGGTATTGTTATTGGCGAAATATCGACAAGGATATCGAAAATCTTGTTCGACAATGCGAAAATTGCGCCCTCATCAAAAAAGATCCTGTAAAAGCTCCAGTACACCACTGGGATGAGCCCAAGGAAAACTTCGAACGAGTCCACATCGACTATGCAGGACCCTTTCAGGGATTCTATTTCCTCGTACTCGTTGATTCAAAATCCAAATGGGCAGAAGTCAAAGTAATAAAAGAAGCACCAACTTCAGAATCGACAATATACCTTTTGCAAGACATTTTTAGTGTACATGGATTGCCAAGAAATTTGGTATCAGACAACGCCACAATTTTCCATAGTGATACATTTCAAACATTTTGTAGAGAAATAGGAATCATGCAAAAGATTATTGCACCAGGGCACCCTGCCACAAATGGTCTCGCTGAAAGGAATATTCAAACCCTTAAGCAGAAACTTACAGCCATGGCAGACGAAAAGCTCTCGATGAACCAGAAAGTGCGTGAGATATTGTACCGATATCGAGGCACACCATTGAATTGCGGTAAAACACCAGCTCAACTTTATCTTGGAAGAGACATTCGACTTAAGCTAGATGCACTACGTCCATCAAAAGAACCTGCCAGTAAACCAGCTGACCTTCCCCGAGTTCGAAACTTCAGCGTGGGAGAGAGAGTCCAAGTTCGTTGGTACACTAACCAGAAGCCTACATGGAAATTTGGAGTAGTTCTAAAGAAGTATGGTCGTCTACACTATCAAATCAGACTAGACAATCAACCCTATGCTGTATCACTCTCGTTATTCTATACGATCAATCGTTATCGCAGATTAACGATCAAAGGTTATGATGACCACAACGACTATCGATAAACGCGATATGCTGTATCAATATTTTAACGGTATCGTAATATTGCCCGGTATCTCGCAGTGGCTATTTCGGAAAAAAGTGTCACATCTAGAAGACAAGGAACGCTGCGCAACGGCAGTGCGTGTAAGACTGAAATACCACAGCGATAAAATATAAGAGGGCGTTGTGGTGCGCGCTTTATCTTTAAACAAATGCCCGCCAGATTTGGAAATGCAGACGTTTCTTTAAAATTATTTGTATTATTAATTGTACGTGTACCTATACCTAGTTGTTTTTTCACGACATGGCGAATGTCGAAGAGAATAATAAGAGGCGGAGAAAAACCACTAGGAAACAATTTGAGGACTTGTTATATTTTATTGAAAGTAATAACATAATCCTCCACGGAAAGACAAAACCGTTGGAGGCAAACAAAATCAAACATTTGTGGCAGGAGTTTGCCAGCGGAAATGGACCACCTTACAGATTCTCGAAAAATTTTTTGAAAATCAATTTCACCCAGCTGAAACGGATCGCTGTTGCCTCGTAAAATTATTCATTGGATGTTTTCCTCATGTCTCAATAAAAACATAATCTACGAGTATTAAAAGGCACAGAACTCACCTCCTTATTACATTTTCCAATTGCCCAAACAAAGCTACTTGCAAAAATCCTTGAAAATTATTCATTTTCTTTCTCTTTAACACCCGCTTAAACTCCAAACGAATCGCTGACAGGACCGTTACGCCCCAAACGGGTAGCATGAACCCTGTCGTTAAGTTTTTCTGGTTATGGTTGCAAAATAACGATAGAGAATTACGATAATCGTTATCCCACACTTGCTACGAGTGATACAGCATACCGATTTTTAAAAAATTATGGTAACGCCGCATAACGATATCGTTATTCTTAACGATAGTGATACAGCATAGGGCCGAATGGCTACATTTTTAAACGACACATAAACCAACTCATCAAATCTAGTGTGCAACCGAAGAAGAAGGTCACATTCCAGGACAACATCGAAGACCAACCCAAGCCAATGGAATTAGAAGAAATTATTATCAGACCCGACAATTATGCTGCAGTTCCAGACCAAGGAAATGTTCCTGTGATGGCTCCACCAGCCGAAGCTGTTCCTCAAGCGGCTCCGCCAGCTGTTCAAATTCGAAGGTCACAAAGACAGCGCCAGGTTCCGAGACATTTTCAAGATTACGTTCGAGACTGATCATTTTCGAAATATTTCATATTGTATTATTTTTCATATTTCAGTAATCGTTATGTTTTTATTTAGCGTGGGAGACTATAATGTATTTATTCAATGTTTATTATGTCAATGGAATTTCTATATTTTTCAATATCTATGGTTGTCGCCTCCTGGCGGTAGACAGAAAAATGACAAGCATGTAATGGTACCACGCGAGTATTCTTTACTTCATTTATGGAATAAATAGGTCAATAAAGTGGGAAGTGTGTTTTCAGTGCTCATTAACATTTACCAGACCTTCTAATCACAAAAACATAATATGGCGTTACTCAGGAAATTTATCAAAATATTTTTGAGCTTCCGGTTAACGTTTCCATCGCCCATTGTGTCGCCGAAGACCTTCGCATGAGTAGAGGTATAGCTTCCGTATTCCGGAAAAGATTTGGAAGAATGGACGAGTTGTTAAAACAAAGACCACGAGTGGGTAAAGTACTGCGCTTGGAAGATAGTCAACGCTCTTTGTTCTACTTGGTTTCAAAGAAAACGTCAGAAGGCAAACCCACCTATGAAAACCTCTGGTCTGCTTTAAAAAGCTTAAAGAAACTCATGGCATACTATGACATAAATAGCTTGGCGATCCCGAAGATTGGATGTGGTTTAGATGGGTTGGACTGGAAAATAGTGCGAACCATGATCGAAGTGATTTTTAGAAACACTAGCGTTCGAATTACAGTATGCTGCTTCAACCCACAGGGGACGACCCTCCGCAAAACTGTGGACTGTTACTTTTTCAAGAAAGGTGTTTGTCGAGCAGGCTCTGACTGCAGATTCCGACACGAGGCATTAAAAAGTAATACTAACGCAGTTTCTGAACGAGACGTCCAGAATTAAGAAGGGGGCAGTGTAACGGAAATGCTCCAGACATGACGTCGCCTTTGGCGCTCTGGAATTTTCTACGCGCGCGATTATTGGAGAATGTACTAGACTTACATTGCTTGCGTGTATAAATGGTTGCGGACCGAACATCGCGGCAGTTAGTCTACTATCGAACGAGATCGAGTACGGACGAAACATAGAGCGCGAAAAGCTGATATAAATTGCGAAGTGCGAGTGATATAAATAATCGATATAAATTGTACGGATTTTATAGTGTTTTAGTTTTGTTTAATAAATATTGATATAAATCGAACTCGAAATTATAAATCACGTGACATTATGTATCCCCTAAGGGTTATTTAAGTTGCTTAAAGAACAAAATGTGAATACATTATTTTTTTCATTAAATTAATACCTGGTATAATTTATTTTACTTATTGTTGTTTTTACTTACCTTATAGTAATAACCAATTTTTCCTCCGGAGTTATTGGCTCATGTATGAAGTTTGTCCAATTACTTTGTAAATGAAGTTTCACTTTGTCAAGAATATAATTAAAAGTGAACATATCCATTCTCATATATTCAAAAAATTTATCTGGATGATTTTTCAGTGTCAGAAATAGAGTATGGTATTGTCCAACTTTACGCCGTTCTTGGTTTATTTGATGTACAGCACACTCTCTATTTCTTATTGTTAATAACAAACGCAATACTGGATTATCAAACACTGTCAGAATGCATCTCGACAACTACCCAAACTCAACTTTAAAAAGGTAAAAATCGCGACGCTTCACTATAATTGGTTTAACTCTCGTCTCGTCGCTCGTCGCATCGCTTGCCTCCTGTCGCGTCGCTGCACTATATTCGTACCCTAAGGCTGGTAGTGCAAGAAATTCTTATTCCGATAGTTATAACACTGATAACGATAGCGAAATCCGTCAGGAAACTAATTTTAGTATTCACAGCGATTCCGATCATACTCAAAAATCGATACTTGGGTACGACGTAGGTCTTTTGCAACAAAATAGAAATCCCTCTCCTCCAGTAAACTTTCCGCTTGATTCTGATGGCCGTTCTTTCCCTAAATATATATTGAATAAAAATTATCAAAGTCCTCGTTTGAGATCGAAGGGACTTCAGCGCATTTTTGTGTGGCAGATCAGTATTCTATTAGCCACTTTCGACTCAACCATCAATAACAGATCTTGTCAAAGGCTACTACATTCACTAACCGCTTCCCACTTTCCGCGTGCACCCGCAATTCGCTTTTAAAGTTTTGACTCCACCATCAGTAAGATCGTGTCCGGGGGCTACCACATTCCCTTTGACGGTACCCCCTTCCGACGTCCCGTTCACCCGCAATTCGCGTTTGAAGATTTGACTCCGCCATCAGGAAGATCGTGTCGGGGGCTACCACATTCCCTTTGACGGTACCCCCTTCCGACGTCCAGTTCACCCGCAATTCGCGTTTGAAGATTTGACTCCACCATCAGTAAGATCGTGTGGCGGACTACCACATTCTCTTTGACGGTACCCACTTCCGACGTCCCGTTCAGCCGCAATTCGCGATTGAAGATTTGACTCCACTATCAGGAAGATCGTGTCGGGGGCTACCACATTCCCTTTGGCGTCGCGGTTGAAGATTTGACTACACCATCAGTAAGATCGTGTCGCGGGCTACCACATTCCCTTTGACGGTACCCACTTCCGACGTCCCGTTCACTCGCAATTCACTTCTATTGGCGGCACGAGAAAGAGAGACAGCGATTCGAGATTTACGAAACGTTAAACCGCGTGAGTTCGCAACGGAAGGTAAAAGGCGCCCGAAGTTGACTACTTCTCGAAGACGCGCGCGCGCGCCTCGCAAAAGGTCGTTAATTTCGCCCCTATGACAAAAAACAAAATTCCGCCACGCAGGAGTTGTGCGCGTTTACAACATCTTTCCGACGACACCAATTTGAAAAGAATCGGACCAAAACTGTAGTAGAAGATAGGAAAAAACTGAAAAACCTTCACGTTAGTATACTACGCTCGAGGATGACGCCCAGATGTCGCCAACCCCACATCATGTAGCCATGTCCCTAAGGTTGACAAATTTCACGGCCCCGTAGATACACGTACACCCGTTGCCTTTCTACAAGAGTTCTTCTACGCGCCCACATTTGCTGCCAGCCAGCCAGCCAGCCAGCCAGCCAAAGTGAGATTAAAAGCTACTTTTTACAAATAAATTTGCAAAAATGCGCTAAAAAGTTACAAAATATTGAAACAGTTCCCAGAGATTGGTTAGTTTGGAGTACTGCTAAGCAAGCTCTTTTTTGTTTCCCATGTCGATTGTTTGGTCGCAATGAAAACACGGAATTCAGTGTAATTAAAGCAGGATCTTCTCAGCAGCCGGTGTCTGTGGTAGCAACTGTGGGTTGGGAACCAGCCAGAGGGTATAAAAAACTTTACGACAGGATTCCTATTCATGAAAATAGCAATATTCATAAGATAAATTACGTCGCATGGCGCAACTTAGAAAATAATTTGACTACAAATCGAACCATTGGCCGCTTGTTGGATAAAGAAATAGAGGATGAGAAAAAAACCTGGAAAGACCTACTTCGATTTTTTCTAGATGTGACTCTTTTCTTGGCAGAACGTGGACTAGCTTTTAGGGGAGACAGTCATGAGATTGGCAATTTAAGAAACGGAAATTTTTTAGGAATGTTGGAGTTGATTAGCCACTACGATCCTCTTCTTGCCGTGCATTTAGAAAAAGTTAAACGATCCCAAGAAAAAAAACAAAGATTACCAGTTCACTATTTATCAGCGGATATACAAAATGAATTTATATCTTGCTGTGCTGAATATGTCAGAGACTACATTTTAAAAGAAAGAGTTGCAGCTAAATATTTTTCTATTATTGTTGATGCCACCCCAGATTGTTCTCACGATGAACAAACTACTTTGCTCGAATTTTGGATATTAATCCTTTAGCAATTTTTTCACCATGTGCGTGTCATTCTTTAAACTTATGTGGGGTACATACAGCTGAATGTTGTCCTGAAGATATTACATTTTTTGGTGCAATTCAAAAACTTTATAACATATTTTTGCCAGTCCTCAAAGGTGGGAAATTCTTAAAAAAACATATTGGAGTGTCTCTTCATTCTCTATCCACAACACGCTGGTCTGCTAGAATCGAAAGTGTTAAACCTTTTTCCGAAAGACTTTCTGGGATAAAGGATGCAATAAAAGCCGTGGAGAGTTTAAATTTAACCGCAGAAATTCGCTCTGACCTCAAAGGATTATATACCTATATGGAATCGATTGAGTGTTTAGTACTCGCATCTATGTGGAAAAAGGTTCTGACTGCTATAAATTACAGAAGTGTGCTTTTACAAGGGTTAAATACGACAATTGACGTAGAAGAAAAAAATCTGTCTAGTTTACTAGATTGTAAACAGAACGGGGTTCTGCCTTCAGGTAGCTCCAGCCGGCTGGCCAGAGATCGAAATTCGTATTGATTGAAATTGTTTAATTAATAAAATAAAATAAATAAAAAAATTCAAATATTCAAAGCCCGATGTTGGGTACGGAGACACCTCCACCGTCTGTCAAATCCCCGGTTGACCTTGGACTCTGGTCCGGCGTTTTCTTTTCCCCAACTGGAAACGTGCGGTGGATGTGGCAAGTGCTACTAGTTCGCTGTAATGATAAGAGTTATTACCACATAAGCCCGGATGGTTATCAAGGCTCGAGAAGGTATCAGGTAAAGGAAGTATAGGAAGCTTTCTCCACCAATTATATTTCAGGTGCTCTTCAGCAAAGAAATAACCCGACCTGAGTTGACTTGAACAGGAAGTAATAGCTCTCTAATAAGGTCGGCAAGGATTTACCTGGCGACGGCCCTTACAGAGGAACTTCCACCCGGTTCCAACAACCTCTACTCAAAGTCGGTGGAATCAGACGGCAAACACGGAAGGGAAGATCTTCTGAAAAAATTATTCAAGAAAAATCAAATGTTCTTCAATCTATTTACGAAAATGATATAGGCCCTCAACTTCAGGAAGAACTGCTGCATTTAAATGCAATATACCAGGCAAATTTTGGCATCGAAAAACTTCCCCCTCTAGAACTTTTAAATAAAATACATTCTTTAAAATTTGAAGCCTTGTTTCCGAATGTTGTTATAGCTTTAAAGGTACCTATTCACGTTCAGTCGGCCGGCCGGCTATGGCCGGAAAGGCCGTGGCCGGCAGGCCATTTTTCACTACACACACACAGTTAACTGACAGGCAGCTGCCTGCCGGCGGCCTGTTGACTGTTAAAACTGAACGTGTGTAGTGGTTGGCCGGCCGGCATTGGACTGAAGGGAAAATTTTAGTCCAGACTAAAATTATTTACTAATAATACCATTAATAAGCAGGCCGAGGTAGGCGAAGTATTTAAGTGGTGCGACATAGTAGCAAAAAGTGTGATTTCAGTGATTTTAGTGGTGGATAGTGCTGTGTATTAGTTAACCCCATAAAGTGTAACAGTATTGAGTGATTCGACGACGTTGAAAAAATGGCAAACCAACCAAGTTTCATCAAAGATTTTATTGAATTATACCAAAAGCATAAATGTTTGTGGAAAATAAAGGACTCCAGTTATGCTAACAAAGCTTTACGAGCAAAAGCCTATCAAGAATTGCTTGAGTTGTATAAAACAGTTGATAGTGAAGCCACGGTAGAATCTGTGAAAAATAAGATTAATAACATGAGAAGTGCATTTAGAAAAGAACTTAAAAAAGTGAAGATGTCAAAGAGAAGCGGTTCTTCGGCCGACGAAATATACACGCCCTCCCTTTGGTACTATGACCTACTTTTATTTACGACAGATCAAGAAGAATGTAGGGAAACACTGTCTTCCTGCGTAGATATACAAGACGAGTCTGAAAAAACAGGAGGAGATAATGAAGAAAATGAAGTAAGTATACTTTTTAAGTATTTATTTTAATTTCTTAAAATCACCTTAGAATCGTTAAATTTAAAAAAAACAGAAAAAAAACGATAAAACAGGAGAATTCTAAAGAAAATTATCTTGCCAAGCTACTTTTCCGATTGTCATAAAATATTTTTTATAATTTTCGCGATTTTGTTTTACATTTTCTGCTACATTTCTGAGGTAGCCAAGTTGTAGTCCATGTAATTGTTGGTTTCCACTTTGCCTCCATTCACCTGGTACTATTTCTCCGGTATGTAACATTTCCTGATCGAACGAGTTCGAAGACGTATACGATGTTTTTGCATGCTTGCTAAGAAAATTGTGCAATACGCAAGCAGCTAATACTACAAAATCTACTTTATTGGGATCCATATTTATCGCTGTGTGAAAAACTCTAAAACGATTGGCAAGCACTCCAAATGCATTTTCTACTACTCGTCTGGCTCTGCTAAGTCGGTAATTGAAAATTCGCTGTTCTGGAGACAAATTCTTCTGAGGATATGGTTTTAATATGTTTTCATGCAAGGCAAATGCCTCGTCGGCCACAAAAACAAAATTTAAATTCTCAGTTGTATCATGTGTAGATGGCAATTTTAGCGTTTTGTTGATTAATTTGTCATGAAAGTCAGTAGACTCAAATACACCTCCGTCTGAGACTCTACCATTGCAGCCTACATTCACGTAAACAAATTCATAATTAGCGTTGACAAGTGCCATTAAAACAATACTAAAGTATTCTTTATAGTTAAAAAAATAGGAGCCACTATTTTTTGGTTTAACTATTCGAATGTGCTTTCCATCGAATGCTCCCCCACAGTTAGGAAAGTTCCATCTGTTCTGAAAATCATTTGCTATTTCTTGCCATTCTTCGCAATTTTGTGGAAACTAAAAAGAATATTTAATTGAAAAAGGTTAAATGATTAAACTAAACTTAATAAATATAATTGCATGTTTAATAATAAGTCAATTTTGCCTGTTATAATATTCTTTTCTTTTAGTTGGAATCCGAATTAAGCAGTACAGAAGCTTCAAATCCATTCTCACCAACAACAATATCGGAGACAACATGTTTATCCAGAACACCCACACCGACAAGGAAAAAAGCGAAACAAACCAAACATGATCTGATGGTCGAGAAAGCATATGAAGTTTTAAGTAGAGGTGATAATGAGTTCAAAACTGTTGGAGCAAATGTTGCATGGAAACTTCAACGAATGGAAAAAAATCAGCGCGATATTGCTGAACATTTGATAAATACTATTTTACATTATGGAATTACTAACAAACTAAGCGACAATGTAACTATAAATTTATATCCATCAAATAGATTTACTAATAATGCAGCATATAATATGTACAGCCAAGATTCGAGTCATTTGCAGGCACAGCATAGTCAGTCACAATTATATCCAGATATTACTTTTGTAACACCACCTACTCAGTCCCAAATACAGTCTTGTACTCAGTCATCACGGCCACAACATTATACGCAGCAACTAGGATCAGCATATCAACCGAAAATACCAGTCCAAACTACTTCATATCTACAGTCATTCACTCCAATTACGCAAATAGACTCTTGTAATCGACCACAACTATGTTATGAACCACAATCACCGGACCAATCACAACCACAACATTATACTAACTATAATTCACACTCTCAAACACAGCCACGCGCTTCATCACAAATAGAGTCGCAGTCCCAGCTTACTTAACATTCAGAAACTCAATCAAAGCAACATATAAATGAAAATGATACGAGCTTCTCTATGGATACTTATGTACGTCTACAGAAAAAAACATTTTCTGACTTATAATAAATTTAATCTACATATTTTTTTAGAAATTAGTTTATGTTTGTTTGTTAATTTTGAAATAAAATATATAAATATGTATTATGTGTTTACCTTTAAGTATTCCTCCTTCAAAACCAAATATATATATTTGCACGTTTCAGGAATAATTTTGCCCAGAGCTTGTGGTGAAATAATAGCGCTGAATTTTAAATCTTCCATACTGCGTCCTGTTGCCAAATATCTTAGAGTCACTAGAAGTCGTTCTTCTGCGCTAATTGCTTGCCGCATTACGGTGTCCTTTTTTGTAATATACGGCTTTAATAAGTTTAATAAATAGTCAAAACAATTATCATCCATCCTTAGAAAATTTTTTAAATCACTTGCACTTGATTGTCGAAGTTCTCGTACAAGTTCAACGTGAGATAAAGCGCTACGTTTTTTTAACCACTCTTTCATCCAAATAGCTTTTCTTTTTCTTTTTTGCTGATGTGAGATTAAAACAATTGCACCTGCAGCGTACTCTTGGGACATGATTGAACTGACGGCGTAGAACTGCGCGTGTGTAGTTAAATACTTAAACCTCTGAGGCCGTTATCGAAACCGATCAAAAACTGTCGTCCAAAATCGCTAATAAAAACTGAACGTGTAGTTTAAGGTTCGATAACGGCCGGCCGGCCGGACGAACAGTCCATGGCCGGCCGGCCGACTGAACGTGAATAGGTACCTTAAGACTATTCTGCACCATACCTGTGACAGTTGCTTCAGCAGAACGTTCGTTTAGTTGCCTAGCTAGAATAAAGAACGATTTAAGATCGACGATGAATCAGGGTCGCACATCCGATTTGGGGCTTTTAGCAATAGAGGCAGAAGTAGCCAAAAAGTGCAATTTTGACCGCGTTATAGAACTATTTGCAAGTCGCAAATCGCGAAAAGCGCCATTGCAATAAATAGTTATTTGTTTCATAAGTACGAAAAATGCACGTTTCCGGGACGAGGAAGGGTGGTTAGACATTCCGTGTCACGGAAACGCATTTTTCGTACGAATGAAACATAAAATTTTTTCTCCAAGCACTTTTTTTACTTACCCAGTGTGTTTGCGCACGCTCTTGTAGTTGTCGTTTGTCGGCCACTGCTTCATCTTTTGGGTGCCACTCTATTAATATTTTTTTAGGTTAAGTAGCCTCCTTATGAAAGTAAACATGAAGTAAATATCTTAGAACAATTCAATATGAACACGAAACATCTTATTTTTGCTTAATCAAATACGACAAGATGTACAATCAAGTAAGTAGCATAAACGGGTACATTTTATTAACCTAAGATTCTCTTTAAGTGGTCGATGACAAGTTTAATTTCGAAATTTACTGGTACTAGTACAGGAAGCATTGGAGTGCATAGAATTAGGTCTAGGATGCTAAACATCTCCTTACTCTTACTTGAAGGTGCGAAACTGTTTACCGAGAAACATATTTTCTTCACAACCAAAGCATGCGGATATAAGCACTGTGCGAAGTTGCCCATATTAGTTAATCGTACATGAATTGAATTGCGAAGTTACTTTTCGTATGTACCTACTGTGAAGTCTTAGTTTTTCCTATGTTTGAAGGAATGTTCACTTTGATTCAAAAAGTTTAATTTGAACTGCTACTCCTACATATTAACTGCGAACATATGTTACCGAAGCTGTAATTTTCAATTCCATTTGTAAATCTGTAAATGTTTTAATGTAAAACAACATTTTGTAAGTAGTTATTTCTTTCACGCACTAAAGCGTAATTTACACGGGATAGTAAAACTACCACAAATTTGTGTCGGAGAGCACTTCCCAATAACTCTCATAATGTAAACGGTGATAGAAGAGCTCATCCCAGCAAGTCGAAAACTTTCAGGCAAGTCATTCCTGCAATAAAATCTTGCACGTCTAAACAAGTCTTGACAGCGCTTCCTACAGAAAGTTGACATTTATTTCGATCTTGTTGAAAGTTGATGTGCAAGTGCTGATTAATATAAAAATAGACATGTTTACGGTTTTTGTTAATGTGACATCTCGAGTCATGTTCTGAATGACAGGTCAATGACAACTATATGTAATTTTTTGATTGGCGAAATTACTTTTGCGGACTAGTCCGAAAAGTACCTACTTTTTGGACAGTTACCATGGTGATACTGACGGCTCCCCAAATCGCCCATTTTTTGGACCAAAAAGTATAACAAAATAGCGTCTTATTCAGGTGGTTGGAGAAAAAATGATTTTATTTAATTTTTGTTGTGTTTGTTTTTATTCGTATGCACACTTACGTATATAAAATGAATTTGTTTTCGTTTTTTTTTTAAACTTTTAGACATTTTTACATATAATTATTATTTGGTGTATCAAACATTTTTTGAAAGGTTAGTAGGGCCCGAAGTGCTGAACAGTCCCGGGGCCCGAATCGGCTCTCGGCGGCCCTGACTTTACTTAATATACAATCGCGTTATTCCTTGGTTTTAGCATAAATAATTAAGTCATCTATATTTACACCTTCACTCCCTTAATATTGTCAAAGATATCAACAAATGTTTTGTGAAAAATTTCTGGAGCATTAGATAAACCATATGGTAATCTATTAAACTTAAAACGACCAAAGGGAGTCGCAACGTTGTTAAATTGGGATAATGGCTCTAAAACAATCCCTTTCAGCTGTTTTCTCTCTCAAGAGTCTTTAGATAAGAATGTTGAAAGATTTTGGTTGGTAGAAGAATTGGGGTCAGATCCTCGGGCTCTTATGAGCAAGGCGGAACAAGAATGTGAAGGTCATTTCATAGAAAATACAACTCGAGACAAATCTGGTAGGTTTGTGCAGGGGCGGACTGGGTACTTACGGGCCAGGTGGAATTGCATAGGTTACGGGCCATTAAAGTATTGGTGCAATGAATAGGGGGGGGGGGGGGTCCGGTGCACCACAAAAACATTTTTACATTAATTTTAAAAAATTCCTTTCTTGAAAATCAATCATAGAATATAGTTTTTCTTTAATTTAGGTAACAAAAATCCATACGTAAGACAATTTAACAAACTGAAAAAATGAAAATGAAAAATGTTTATAATGAGTCTTCATTTCCGAACTGGACATCGCTAATCTTGTAATGACGTCATCATATCGCTCATCCGGAAGAAAAGTGACACAACACAAAATTTCTATTAATTTAGTTAGCCCGTTAAAACATCTCAAAATCATACTTAAATTACCGCAGGAAAAACGACACAAAGTTACTTTCCACGGTGTCTCTTAGATGGCGCAAGTGTCACTGTTCCATTGGACGCATATTCAGTAACCTTTATTAAGAACAGTGACACATTTTCAGTTGTGTTCTAACTGTTACACTGGAGGTATCGCCGCGTTTCAGAAAAAACGTCACATCTTGAGAAGTGTCGCTATTTCTTTAAAAGTGTTTCTAGAACAGTGTCACATGTAGGTTTGTGTCATTATTCCTGAAAGAGGTAAGTAATTTTTTGCATTTTTTAATTTTTAACGAAGTTTTACTTTGAGAAGTGTCATTGTTCATGTAAATAAACTTTTAATATCATAGTATCATGATGTCATTTTCTCAGTTGTGTCACTATTCCAGAAAACATTTGCACATTTGTTTGTTTTTTCTGAAAATTATTTAGTTTTGTGACACATTCTAAAAACAAAACATTTTATATTTAGATGTCCAACTACAGCAGTAGAAGTCTCCTTATCCTTAAATTAAGTAAGCAACGAATAGTACAGCAAGATAATAAAGAAAACGATAACAATCAATGGAAAGTTATTGCGAGACAAGAAAATGTTGATAAAAGTTCAATCATTTTCAAAGAAATTGATCCTACTAGTAATCAGCAAATCTCAGCCGTTGTCTTAGACAATGACCCTCAACCTATAGATAATACAGCAAAATCTTTTGAAGGTAAGGTTACTTCCATATGCTGTAACGCCGATAGGTGTACCTACCATTTTTGTTTCAGTTTTAGAAGTCCAACCACCAACAGATTTTGATTTTCAAAATAAGCAAGGTAGTTCTGAAACAATTGATGAAAGTGCGGATGAAGGTGATCAGTCTATAGCAGATCCATATAGTACAGATGATAGCAATGCCGACCCCGATTTCAGCGATACAGCATCCTCAACTTCAAGCAATGACAGCACAACTTTAAACGACAAACCAAGCACTTCTCGCAGCAAAAATAAGGAAGCTTGTGATATCCAAATTAAGAAAAGTAATAAACGTTAGACAAGAAGAAAAGAAAGGCAAGAAACGAATACCCAATCCTGAAAAATGGATAAAAAACCGCGCAAAGAAGTTAAGAAACATGGGAGAGTCCTATTCGTCAGTTTCGAAAGGAAAGAAGGTTATTGCAGCCCGAACTTTGCTACCTTCATGCACCGATAAGTGTAAATTAAAATGTTACAACAATTTCACTGAAGGAGAACGTAAGCAAATATTCGACGATTATTGGAGGCTAGCTGATTTGGAGAAACAACGCCATTTTATATCCGCTAGTATGACAACAGTCACTCCCAAATACAGATACGTCAAAGAAAATAGCCAGAGACGTCCGAATAATGCCTTTCATTTCGAGATAAAAGATAAGAAAATTCACGTATGTAAGGCCTTCTTTAAAGCCACCTTATGCATTACCGATAGACCCATAAGGACCGTCATTGGGAAAAGAAATATTTTCACTGGACAAATGTTGTCCTCCGATTTGCGAGGGAAGCATGGACGGCACTTTAAAGTAGATGATGACATAAAAAATGGTATTAGACAACACATAATGAAAATTCCGCGGATCGAAAGCCACTATTGTCGCAACCACTCTGGGAAAGAATATATCGAAGGCGGAAAAACTATAGCCGATCTGCACAGAGATTATGTCAAAGACTGTGCTGAAGAAAACAAACCTTCCGGCAATTATATGATGTATTGTAGGATATTTAATGAAGAATATAATCTTTCCTTCTTTATTCCAAAAAAAGACCAATGTGAAGTCTGTATTGGTTATCTGAATGCTTCAGAAGATGAGAAGATTCAGCTGCAAGAATATTATGACACACATAGACTGGAAACCGATTTATCAAGGAAAGAAAAAGAAATTGAAAAAATTTCGTTATACTTTTTCTTTTCCGGCTCGCTAGGTGCCAATTTGTCGGATAGTAAATCGTATGCGCTAGCACCCATATAATGGAGGAGGTAGTACACTTTCATGTTCTCGGCTGTATTAAATACTGTAAATGCGCCTTCAAGTCGCTTGACCCATCGTGACCATGGAGTCGTCGTCGGGTTAAAAGTTTCAACAGTAAATGATTGTTGAACTGTGTTGGACGTCATTCTGTTGATTGTACCGTGCAGATTCGTAAAACCCCTTTGAAAATGTATGTAGTCGTTCAATGTAATTTGCACCTGCTTTGCATGCGGTTATGACATAACCTCTATTTCGTACGTACTGTTTCTGCGGAATGTACTTAAGATGTATGTAAATTTCACGATCCTCGTCGCCACTTGTTGTGTTTGTAATACACAACTTTGTAATGTAAAAGGGTTCTTATTTTCACAGTAAACGAAGTGTACTTTTATAACGTGCTTTATATCAATTTCATGCCGGTACTCCCCTTAACTGGAAGTCCTCCCTCCTTCTCTTGCCTTGTAAGGCGCCAGATTCAAATATGGTATAACAAAAATAAAAAGATATTCTCCAGATTTAGAAATTAAAAAATTAATTCTCATCTGTATCTGTGTGTGTGATGTCTTTTTTCTCGTTAAAACAGAGCTAAAAAATTAACAAATTAAAGTAATTTAATTTTTTAACAAATCTGCATGTACTTTTTTAAAAATTCCGCTGTTCAACTCATCTACACGTCTTGGAAAAGCTGGGCTGATTTTCTTTTTCAGGAGTGTAAATACCCAACTGTAAATCTTCATCACACAATATCTTGTTATCAATAATTTTAATACTTTCCGTTTCGTTGACTAGAAGATGCACCATATCATCTATAATACGTTTAAAAAAATAATAAAAATGATTAGAAGTAATTATTTTTACATTTATCTTTGTTTATTTGTCCTTCAAGTCTAATGTGGCAACCTGCAATCAAATTATCATTCTTGTGAAAATTTGCTATGCGAACATTAAGTTTATATTTTCCATCCACAATCGACCCGCTTCCAAATGTAGAGTAATTTGTATGTATTTCAATAAACGTGTCTTTAATGAAACCCTCTACACCTGGAAAAGTTAAATATGATTAAGGAGGTAGGTACATTATTATCTTCTACTTACTGACAATTCCCGAAACCCGCACAATTTTGACTAAATGTATTTCATTTCTTAGTGAACTTAGTGAAGCGTCTATTATATGCATATCAAATTTGGTTCAATTTGATGCAATACGAAAAAAAGTCAGAAATGGATATTTTTGCGCGATTATTCCCAAGCTTTCCAGCTCTTTCTTTTATATCTTAAGAATGTAGAAAATTTTCCGTCATAAAAGAAGGGGGGGGGTCATTTTTTCCCCAATGCAATACCTCTCTTTATTAACGTCTTATATGAAATTCAAATTGGGTATTTTTAATCAATAAAAAATTAACGGCAAAAGATGGCGAAATTTTAAAATGGTGATCTGTAGTATTTAACAATACCGATTGGTATCATAATGTCGTTAATTCTTTAACACGAGATTAGGCTGTAACTAAAATTCAATTTACAATCTACATTTTCTCAGACGATATAAAAATTACGCAACATTTAACAGGTTTTCCACGCCTGTAACTACCCTGAAATTGTATTTTACTTACACATTTGGATCGCCGGGTTTTAAGACATCTATTTCCTCATTTGTACTTAATTTTGGATGATCGGCCATGATTTTCTAAAATTATAAAAACTTGTTAATTTTAAAAAATATTCGTATGTACTTGCAATACTCCATTTAATATTTTCGTTTTAATTGTTTAGATATTCGTCTGTAAAAGAAATGTAAATTCTAAAACCAATTGGAATCTTTAAAAAAGAATATCCAGGTTTCCGTCCCACTAGAAATACCCGATTTATTTAAATACTAGATTCTCTACGTGATTTTAACATTTCTCTGACGTAATATAGTTGATTCTTGGTTCTGCTTCTAGTTCTGGTTCCTATTCTGGTTTTTCACGCTCTAGGTAGGTATTTCATTTTTGTATAAAATATTTGACCATCATTATCTCTCAAGTAAATGTACTAAATTTGAAAAAAGTTTTGACACAGTGGACAAACTCCTTGCCAAATAAAACAGTTTATAAGACAGTCATTATGTATCTGTTACAAGTGTTACATTTTTTTGTCATTACTATTGTGTTTATTGCAAGTCCACATCCTAAACATTTGTTCATCCTATTTTCAGAATTTTCAATAATCAATGTTTTCATTGTTTCACGATAAGTATTTGGGTTCAAGGGAGTAGTTAAAGGTTTATGTTTTAAATAGCATTTGATATAATGTAAAATAAAAACACCACAATTGACATGATCAGATTGCAAAACGTGTTATATAATTATATATAATTATAATTTTATTGGTAGTATTTGCATATATTGTTTATGTTAATCCCATATCTAACTATATAACGATAATTCTAATAAAAATATTCTTACTTGTTATGTTTATAAAATATGATATGATAATTATTTGTATGGTATATTCATATTATCTCGTTAATATTCATATAAATTGTTATTGTACGTAGTGGTACTATTGCTGTTTATTATGCGTATAATGGCGAAGTCTTAACAATCTCTAAAGTACGTAACATATCTTCAGTCATGGATTCGTGATCATACTTGGTCTCCTTATCCAAAGCCAACGATGTCTTATGTTTCTCATATTCTGCAATCAGTATGTCTACGGCAGCCTGGTACTTCGCTGTTGTTGCCCAACCCTGATATTTGGATAGACTCGATTCTCCATTGACCTTTATCAAGAGCTCTTTGCAGACATAGGTAATGTTTTTGAATTTAGTACTTCGTACTATTCCCAGGTCATGTTTAAAGCCGTACCATATGTTAGAGCCGACTGTCGAAATTATCCCATTCCTCTGGGTATATATTTTTTATACGTATTGTAATTCTTCTAAAATTTGATACAGATATATTTGAATGCATTACTATATTAGTTTTTACACAAAAATTAGAGTATCGTTCGAAAACATTCAATGCCATTATATCATTTCGACCCAAAGGATCTATATATAACTCTCGCCAGGAAAGATTGCCGGTCACAGCACACCTTGTGTCGATTTACAATCTTTGTTTTTATTAAGATGCGAGCGACTTCTGGAATAGGATCGTGCTAATGGTGAATAAAAAGTCTTTTCGTTCAACATTGACATGATACTATCTCGGAAGTCGCTAGCACTTAACGAAAAACAGAGATTGTAGATCGGGATCAAGTGTTCTGTGACCGGCAATCTTTCTTGGCGAGAGTTATAAGTGTAAGTATTTTCTATAAAGTTAAAAATGGCCAAAGTCCAGTGATTTTGATATACAATAGGTGGTATCTGAATTACATTTTTTGATATAGTATTAAACATATCCGAAATTTGAACAAAATCCGTCGAGCCGTTTTCTCAGAAAATTGCCAACAAACGTACGTACGTACATACAGACGGAAAAAATAAGAAAGGTGCATTTTTTACGCATGCATTTTGTTTGCTTTTATTAGAGGGACCTACCATCCAAATTTCGTTTTAATTGTTCCATAAATAAGAAAATTGCATTTCTGCGCATGCGCAACACGATTTTTGCGCATGAATTTTGTTTGCTTTTATTAAAGGGACTTACCATAGAAATTTCGTTTAAATTGCTTCAGAAACAAGATCGTTGCGTTTTGCACATATGCAACACAATTTTTTGACTTTGACAATTTTTTTCTCCGTTTTTTGATAATATAACCCGGCCCAATTTTTTGTAGGTTGTACACAGGAAAATAAGGTCTTCCAAATAATAGAATAAAAATTTTAGGTTGCTATTTGAAAAAAAAAAGTTCGATGCCGTTACGGCGCTCCAAAATTTCTTTTCAAAAATCCGGCCCGTTATTTTTCTGTTCGGTATGCCTAAAACATATTTATACAAAATTTCAACAAAATCCGTTGAACCGTTTTCTCAGAAAATTGCCAACAAACGTACGTACGTACATACAAACGGAAAAAAATTTTAATCTTTAAAAGTTGCTTAAAATGGTCTAAAACGTCGACATTTGATGAAATTTTGAAATGGTCAAAAAACGGCTATCGCAATAGCTACCTAGCACATGCTAGGAAGCTAAAAATATTTTCTAAACATTTGTAATATTTAACAGATATATAAATATTATGTACATATTGAATAAGGGCCGAGATATCCACCTTCTAATAAACTACTTAATAAATTTATTTAGCTAATAAACGTTTTTTACTGATTTTCACCTCCTAACAATTAATAGGTACCTAGTAACTAACCTTATTAGCTAAATATCTTATTAGCTAGTATGAGCTCCTGATAAGGTAGTTTAAACCATCAATTACAAAAGTTTCTTGTGATATTAATCTTCGTAAAATATACGTGAAAGGTAAGTAAAATCAAAAGTAAAAAAAATATTTTCCATTGACATACCCTTCTAATTTACTTATATACCTAACCTCAAAAGCAATTGCAGGATCTTAAAAAAAATGTATTTTCATGAACTGGATGATGAAATAGAGATGCAGGAAATTGAAGATTTAGGATTAAATCGCCAGAGATATATGGTTAGGGAGAGACAAGATAATTTCCATGGATGGAATGAGGAACAATTTTTCAATCGCTT